AACTTGAAATAAAGCAGAATTTGAAAAGTATAGCGTGGCATAATTGACTTAGGCAAAGTCCCTATTTGCACCCTTCATTTATTTTTTTTTCGCGGTCAACACCTTTCAGAATTTTTTCTTTTTATTCACACCCTCCACTTTTCAAAACTTGTGAAAAATTTAATATTTTAACGGGCCGTCACGGCACTGTTAAAAAATATATTACGTGGCACCCAAAATTGACGTTACACTATGTAACGTTAGTAATCCAACATGGATCTTTTTTTTTTTATGATGTGGTTTATTTTTTACGGATGTGGACGTCACGTATACAGTAAAAATAATAAAAAATTATAATATTATCAAACAGTTACATAAATGTCATTTTTTCATTTTTTTCTTTCCCCCTCATCCTCGGCATCATCTTCACCATCCTCCATCTTCACCATCCTCTTCTCAATGGGTTCCTCGCGGGGAACCCAGTTCAGGTTCCAACCTTTTTTTTTATTTTTTTATTTTGAATGTATTTATCTTGGCTTTCGATTTTATGCAAAGCAATTTAGAATAATTTTTTTGTTGGAAAAGTGAGTTTTTTTGCTTGGAGATTGTTTCTAAATAGGTTGCCAATTTGAGTTTTTTTCGTTTTTTGTGGGAAAGGAGTAGAAAATGCTTATCATGTTTTTGTGCAGTATTCATTTACTTATAATTGTGTGGATGAAAATCTTAGCTTGGTAGGCATTCATGTGAAGTTAGATTCCACGAAGAACTCAGAACCTGGGTTTCGCGAGGAACCTAGGGGGATGAGGACGAGGATGGTGAAGATGATGCTGGGAAACACGAAAATGAAGAAATTAAAATTAATGATGATTTAATTATAACACATTATAAAAAAAGTCCAACATTGGATTAATAAATGTGACATAAAGTTCTGGGTTCCTGGTTCCATGAGGAGCCCAGGAGGATGAAGAGGAAGACGGTAAAGATGATGCAGGAAAGAAGAAAATGAAAAAATTAAAATTAACTATGGTTTAATTATGCCATATCATAAAAAAAAAAAAGTCCACATTGGATTATGTTACTATTTGATGCCACGTATTACAATTTTTAACGGTTATTAACGGTGCCGTGACGGCCCGTTAAAATATTGAGTTTTTCACGGGTTTTGAAAAGTGAAGGGTGTGAATAGGGAGGAAAAATTTTGTAAGGTGTTCACCACGGAAAAAATATAAATGGAGGGTGCAAATAGAGGCTTTGACCAATTGACTTTCATAAACTTTTGGAGCTTGGTTGTTAAATCCTAAGGATGTGCTTGGATGATGTGTTTGAAAGCAGGATTTAATAGGTAGAAAGATTTAAGGAATACCGAATTCCTCCCCTTTTTTTTTCTTTTTTTTATTGAGGAGTGAGAAACTTGAATTTAATTGAAAGAAAATTCGATTTGGAGGAGAGATTTCAAAAAATGACAAACTTTTCAATTTTCCTGCCCTTTTAGATCGTTTTATTAGTTAGAAAATAAAATCTTTATATTCAAAGTTTTTTTTTTTTTGAATTGGTTAAAAGTAGTGTTAATATCTATTAATAAAGAGACTCAAACCGCTGAAGGGGTGCAAACCACCTGTTTCCCAAGAGCAGCGTGGCCACTTAGGCTACATGGGGGTCTGCTATATTCAAAGTTTTAAATTTAAATAATGAAACAAATAAGGGTTTGGAAAGAAGTTGACTAATCCTTCATGTAACGCCAGCCTTAAGCTTAACAACTTATTTAGGAATTTTCCCCAAAAAATTATTCAACCACAATATTTTCTTATGATAAAATCTCACAATCCAACAGTAACTGTGATTTTCACTTGACAACATAACTATTGTAAGACTTCATTGTGAATAAGCTGCAAGTTTTTGGTTCCTAAACTTAAAATAGATATGCAATCAGAAACGATATATACCTTAACAACAAATTGAAACAGATAAAAAAAGCTACTTTTTCTTAGCTAAACAAATTTGTGCTACGTCGTTTACAAGTAAACAAGGCAAGCTTTTTTCCAAAGTGAGTTTGGGATTTTTTTTTGGCAAAACAAAGCTAAGTTGTTTGTTCAATCAGCTTTATTTACATATATAGACAACACAGAATATATTCAAACAAGAGTAATCAAGATAAGCAACCAAAACTCACAAGAAAGGTAAAGTTCTTGGCCTCTTGTTGATCACAAGGCTAAAACAGCATCTATCTTCTTCTGCAGCTCTGGTTTGTTTGCTCCTACCAGCTTATCTACTTGCTGCCCATCTTTAAGAAAGAAAAAGGTAGGAGTGGCTTTGATCTCCCATGAAGTGCTAAATTCCTGCATCACACAACAAGCATATGAGTGCACTTAATCAATTAATTTGAATGCACTTAATCAATTAATTTGAATATTTGGCAACTAAAGGAAAATATAATTTGATTTTCTTCATCACTTACAGTCAATTCATCAACATCTATCAAAAGGAACATTAGAGAAGGGTATTTCTCCGAGAGTTCACAGTAAAATGATGCAATTGTTTTACAAGGACCACACCATGTTGCACTGAAGTTTGCTAGTACCTGTTAAATGGTAAGCTTTACTCATTAGAAAAATCAAACATTCAAAAAATAGCCACTAAACTCTCAAGTGCATATATCATGAAGATGAAAACTAGCCAGTGGTAATTCCCACACGCCACCAAAGAAAAAATGAAGCCTTGAAAAGGCAGAAAGAATCACCGTTTCTAATTTTATAGCAAGGTTTCTATGGAAATGTCACATGTACTGTGCAATAATGAAATATGAATTAAAGGTTGAATCCCTCAAAAGGATGATTCTCCAAAAGAAATGCCTCTGCTTATTTTCTTGTCTAGCAGAAGTAGGAAAAAAGAACTTACAATCTTGCCTTCGTTCTTTGCTTCTGCCAGCTTATAATCCCAATCTTCTTTGGTGGTAACATGTTTAACATTCCCTCCAACAAACTCAACATGCACGTCTGAATCATTGTCATCAGCCCGACTCTGCATTACATACATAATAACCTCGGCCATAAATAAAACTTTAAGAAGGCAGAAATTTAAACCCATGCAGATATCTCTAATAACAAGTTTCAAAACATGGACATTAAATTGTGATAAGTAAGACTGATGCTTGGCTAGACAGTGGTATAAAGAAGTGCCTAAAAGTTCTTATTTAAAGCAACTATGGATAAAAATTATAAATCCTGTCTTCTGCCCTTAACATAAAACTACATAAAAGAAAGAAACCTTAAGAAGTTTGAGAATAGGCAAATGAACTAGTTAGATAAATCATTCCATTGGGACCAAGTATATCTGTATATTGAATGAGCACATCATATAATATTTACAGGAACTCAGTTAATACATCATAAGCATGAAAAGATATCAAGATAAATGTTATCAAAAGCCAAGGAACCCAATCAAATAACCAGCTCATGACATATAATGATTCTATTTGCGTTATACAACTAATTCCATTGTGTTTTAATACTTTAAGATTCCCTTAACAAGATGCCATCTTGTGGTACAATCCTCAGCTCTTCAGAATGACTTCAACTTAAACCAAATCACATATACAAGCCAGTGGAAGTAAAGCATCAACACAATCTATATATTCATAATTTTTTATACATCATTTAAAGATCTATGACAAGTCGAGGGGAACAATATTCTCTTACACGTTGACCAAGTTAATGCCAAAGGTTATGGGAATCTTTCACTTTTCTAGTGATATTGACCCAGTTAAAGATACCTTATCCTATTTTATAAATAAAATTTCTACCAAATCAATAAACTGTAATCAAGAGCCAAAAGGAGAAACACAAATGAGCTGATAATTCAAGCGTCAAAGAGGGAAAGAACAAAAGCAATGACAGCACAGGTTTAGATAAAAGAGCATTACCCTACAGAGGCACAGTCCCATATTCCAATATGCGAATCTCAAGTGGCCCAATATCCCAGCACCCTGAAAGCTGAAAAGCAATCAACTTAAGCAACATGGAAATCACTTTAACTGACTCCAGAGCAAAATTAAAGCATCAGCCCAACAACAGCCATTATACTATCAATTTCTAATGTCTAGACACACAGATTTTTCCTAGCAGAAAAGAAAAACTACACAATTCATCCTTATATGTAAAGCAATTCTGTAACTGTTAAATATGATGCCAAAGAAGGAAACATTTCAAATATCAACATCATCAACACGCTGAATCTTCCCTACCTCTCCTGCTTCTTTGGGGGGAAGAAAAAGGAATCAAAATTCAACCTTTACTTCATAATTAAAAAACCCAAATACTAAATTAACAAAATTTCTGAAGCTACAGAATTCCCCGCCAGAGAAACAAAGAAACAAAACAAAGAGCTAAAAGTGGGAATAGAAACCTGAAGAAGCAAATTAGGAAAGAAAACAGCGGAGAATCGACATCAATTAAACAAACAACCTGAAGATTAAGCGCCGAATACACAAAAAACAGCTAATGAATCGAGGAATACAAGCGGAAGAATCAAATTGAACTCACAGATTAAAACCCTAGACGAATTTGCAATCTTTCGAGAAGGAAAACAACAACCTGGGTGGTGCCTTGTGAATAGGCGTTTCCGTCCTTTAAGCTGAGCTGTCAGCTGTGTAACCGCCTCCTCTCGTCCTATCCCCTTAACACGTCGGTGGCGGCCTTTCACATTTGCTCCCAGCGGACACCAAACATTTCCCAACCAATAGAAACGCTGCCTCCTGTTTCCTTTTCTTTGATTTTTAATCTCTCTTTCTCTGTGTCTTTTTCTCTTTAAAGTGAACTTAATTTAGAGTTAATTTTTTCACCTGACATAAGACGAGAGGCTTAACAACCCTCAACAGACACTTTATGTGATTTAACCTATAAATTTTATATTATTATTATTATAATAATTGACAAAATTTTTACATGGTCATACAATTGATTTTATAAAAAAAATTATTTTATAAAATAAATTGTATATAATATGTTTTATAAAATTATTTAAATATTTTTTTTAAAATAATATAAAAATAAAATTAAAAACATTTAAATAATTTTATTAAGTCCATCATGTAAAATAGTTTTTTGTATTTTTATTTTGTTATCCTACCTTTGGCACATATAGATTTCAGTTTAAGTGAGATTTTTTTTTCATTGTTATAGGTTTAAATGAATTATATTTATATTAATATGATATTGACAAAAATAAGATAATGAAATAAAAGTAATCACTTAATTATGTGATGAGGTTTAATTTATTTTAGATTAATTATATATTTTTTTTAATCTTGATTGCAGAATAAGTTAATAATATTTCATTTCTTATCACACTTCACCTTTATACCATACGATTCGAAGTTAGGATATTTTCTTTTCAACAAAAACAATATTCACTGAATTATTTAAATTATTGACTAAATTAATTTTACTTATGATGTGAAATTTATAAGTTAAAACACAATATATTGAGGGCTAAGGATCTCGAAAGCAAATAATTAAAGAAAGAACTTCCTGGAGTTATCTCCTTACAAATATTGATACCCAAGATTATGCGTGTTTAGACCACAATTAGCATTTTTTTACTGAGACACAACCTTTCCATGATAGAGATCGAAGCGGCAAGGATTTTTCCTGAAATGGTTGGAAAATATTAGGCTGTTACACGGAGTGGTGATGATTGTTTTTAAGAAAATTTTTCGTGATGCCGTGTGGAAAATATGATGATTTTGATGGGTTAAAGTTTCTGGCATTGGGTTTGAATACTTGGGCGCGTGAAGTGCAATTTCGTTTACTTATAAATGGACTTGAGATTATTGCATTTTGGGTTCAAGGCTGGAAAGGTGAATTCGGCCTGTAGGAGAGAGGGGGGGGAGAACGTGGCCCGAATGTGCTTCATGGGTTTTATTAAAGCGGGTTTTGTTTGGATGATGTTTTGGATGCTTACGGATTTGAGGGTAGTATTTTGTTTCAATTCAAATAGTTTCCTTCTTCTTTGGTGCGGTTGGGATTTGCATGTTTTGAAAATCAAAATTGAAACAAATGATGCTTGCATCAACCTTCTGAATCAGTTGTTAGGTTGTTTATACTATAAATTACATTTTTTTTAATAATGTCACATGTCAATGGATAAGATGAGATCAAATCTACTGAAGGGATGCATATCTGTAAAGTTGGTTGGAAAGATAAAGGTTATCTAGTTTGTTACAGTTTAAATTTAAAAGGAATAGCAATCCCTAAAATTTGGGAGGACGTTATCTATGATCTTATCAGCCAAGAGACAGCTCGCAAGATGCATATAAATAAAAGTTTTCTAATTTCTTCAAAATACATGGCTAACCCTTCCAAGAAACTCATTAGTTTTTCAATTCTTTAGTTTCATAGTGATTGCTCATCTTGACTTTTATATTTCAATTTTAGCACAGATCCCAGTAAATTTAAGTTGTTTTCAGCATTCAAGTACCCAAATTAGTCTGTGTAATTACTTCTCTGATTTCCTTTCATGCAATAAATATCAAGTTTATTTTAATTCGCATCTTATTCAGTTCATTTTGGATCTATTAACTTAAATTCACTGTAGTGGTAAAGTCCTTGAGGTTGTTCAAGGCAAATTAGCAACCCATTCTTTAGGAAGGCATCCCTTCCTCTTGCAAATCGTATGAAGGGCGCAAAACTTAGTCTTAAACCAATGTTATTCAAGCCATCCTAACGGAGGTTGACCGCATGGAAAGAGAGGGTTGTTCGGAAAATCCTTTTTTTTTTTGCTTTTCAGAAAAGCAAGTGACATGCTTGCATCCAAATTCTGCACGTGGGAAGCCACTTGAGGATTTTTGAGGAAACAATCCTTTTGTGGCACACCCAGTGGGACATCACCGTGTCTTACTTATAATTTTTAGATCCGTTATTCCTTTTTCCAAGAAAAGGCGTAATTAGGCCACCAAAAACAAACATGGGGAAGGCTGTCCAGACTTTATAGATTGGGCTCGGTGAAGGTAGCCCAGCACATTCAGAAAGAGAGCATGAGCCAATCATTCCACCACCATTGTCACCAATACTTGGGGAGCATTCCTTTGTCAATCCAACCTTCAACAAGGATAATGAATTTGGAGATGATGTTGCTCAATCTAGTGACTCCCTTATGAACGCTATGTTGGAATATGAGGAAAGAGTTCAATAAAGAAGTCAAGAGATTGCTAGATGATTGGATGAATCTCTTTAGAATTTGATCCAAAGTTTAGACGACATGCGGCGTTCTAATAAAGAAGGTGCAAGAATCTGGTGTGAGCAAAATGCAGAAAATTGAAGAGCATTTCAAGTTGAAATAGAGTGAATGCAGGAAGTATTTCGATGTGCTAGAATTGAAGCTCAACCACAAGTAGCAAATTTTCAAAGACAATCAAAATATTCCGGCTCCAACACTTAGGGGCAAGTCAATCAACCGCATTTGCCTCTACAAAACCAACCGATGATTGGTGGGCCAATGCAGCCAAAACCAGTAAAGGTTGCACCACGTCTAGCAGATCTAGGAAATCAACAACAGCTGCAAGAAAAGATCGATAGAGGGATTCTGCGATTTCTAGAAAAGGCCAAGGAAACAATGGGAGTTAGTGTAGACCCATTCCCTAACTAGTCCGTCAAAGTGAATGTGGTAGATCTTCGAAGCCTTATCAAGGACATAAATCAATCATACTCCAAGCACAGACTTGCAGCTGATGACTTGAGATGGGTCATTAAGGAGGCCAAAATTCGCAAAGATCAAGTCAGATCAGATCCTCCACGAGGAAGAAGGCACAGGGGGCATGATCTGAAGTAGCAAAAAATTGTCAGAGTGCTATGAAATCTGGCTATGAAGGGCGATTCAGAATGGTGAAGCCATCGCTCAAATCTCCTAGCCAGAAATGGGAGCGAGTGGTTCACCCAAAAGTTTCTTAAGGCTTAAAATCCCAGAACTTTAAGGCAATGTTTACAACGTAAGAGAGCAGAAGAGAAGCGCCGACAGCAGATGGAGAACTTGCGGGGCATGGTGGATGAAAAACAACCTAGAAGTCCTACTTCCCCCAAAGTTCTGATTGTGGAGACAAGTAAAGAAACTAGCCTGAAAGTAATGTTCAAAGTGGTGGAAGAAATGGAGAATTCAGCAAAGCAAGAAACCATCCAATTTGGTGAGTTTTCTGTGAATTTGTCTTGTTTGGTGCTTACCTTCCTCTAGTCTTCCAAGCCAAAAGAGAACCAGAATCTACAGATTATCAACAGGCATATCAGGCCAAAGAAGAAATTATTGAGATCCTTGCAAAGGAGGATGAGAATGAAATTTCAACAGACAAAATTATTTTTGAGAAGCCAAAAAAGAGGATGGCCAGACATATAAGGCCATTATACATTCATGCTCACATGGATGGTATGCCAATTAATTGAGTTCTAGTGGACAATGGTGCTGTTGTCAACATGTTGTCAACATGTTGCCAACTTGTATGTTACACAAAATTGGCAAATCTTTGAAAGATCTGATGGAGACAGAAGTGACAATTAGCAACTTTATAGGTGGAGTAAATCGATCAAGGGGAATTCTACCAGTGGAGCTTACTGTGGGAAACAAAACTCTCATGTGTGCAGTCTTTATGGTTGACACTGTAGCCACTTATAATGCATTACTTGGGAGAGACTGGATCCATTCTAGCTGGTGTGTTCCTTCAACTTTGCACCAGAAATTGATATTCTGAAATGGTGGCAAAACTGAGGTCGTGAAAGCTAATGACAAACCTTTTGTGGCTAACACCAATTTGGTGGAAGCTTATTACTATGACAAAGAAATTGGGACCATTCACTTCTTTGGGATGGACCGTAGTGGCAGACCAGCTGAAATTACTGCCAGTACTAGATCAGCATTCACTAGTTGCACAGTGAAGAAGGTTTGTGATGAACTCCTTCGGCCTAAAATAATTGTTGCTTTTAGGCCGAGGGAAAAGCTAGAAATTGAAGAAGTTCCATGAAGAGACAACAAATCAATCGCCAGAAAAAGAAGGTTGTGGAAGAAATCAAAAGGAAATTAGTGGCCTATCATCTAGAAAAGCAGATCAATGTAGACAGATATGAGGTCGTCCATGAAAGCGGAAAATTTGACAGATGAGGTTACTATGGAGGAGTTAGATCTGGTTCAAGCCAAACTTGACAATCTGAAAGCAGAAGTACAAGATCCATTGGAGGAGATAAATTTGAATATTTCGAATTTTGGTTGAGTTAGATTTGGATGAAATTGCATAATATTTTCTTTTTCCAATTAAGCATTTTTGTAGTATTCAACAAAGTGCTAATCTGAATTTGTTAGCTGGCCAAATTTGGCCGTGAGCAATCATAGTGATTAAATTAAGGTTGTGTCTGACTTCAACCAGCTTCAAATCAAGTATGCAACAAAGGCTATGAGAGAGGAAAACTGATATTTGATTTTGGAAGTTACATTCAAGTCTACCTCTATATTTGTGGGAAGTTTGCTACGTTATTCTACCAAGCTCTTTTTTGTCTCTTCTTTAAGGAGAATCTATTTGTTTGGTTTTGTGAGCTTGGTTTGAGATCTCTTCTTTCATACCTTAGAGTTGTTTGACATGTGGCATTGGTGGCTGGAGTTTGCATGCAATTTATTTAATTATAAATACTTGAATAAAATCAAGTGTTGGGGGGCATTGTTTACACCATAAATTGCATTTTTTTTTTTTTATAATGCCACATGTCAATGTATAAGATGAGATCAAATCTACTGAAGGGATCCATATCTGTAAAGTTCGTTGGGAGGATAAAGGTTATCCAGTTTGTTGCAAGTTAAATTTAAAAGGAACAACAATCCCTAGATTTTGAGATGAGGTTATTTGTGATCTTATCAACCAAAAGACAGCTCGCAAGGTGCATATAAATAGAAGCTTTCTGATTTGTTTAAAATACACGGTCAGCCCTATACAGAAGCTCATTAGTTTTTCAATTCTTTAGTTTCATAGTGATTGCTCATATTAACTTTCATATTTCAGTTTTAGCACAGATCCCAATAGATTTAAAGTGTTTTCAACATTCAAGTACCTAAATTAGTCTGTGTAATTGCTTCTCTGAATTCCTTTTATGCAATAAACATCAAGTTTATTTTAATTCGCATCTCATTCAATTCATTTTGGATCTATTAACTTAAATTCACAGTAGTAGTAAAGTCCTTGAGATTGTCCAAGGCAAATTAGCAACTCATTCTGCAGAAAGGCATCCCTCCATCTTGCAAATCGTCTGAAGGGTGCAAAACTCAGTTTTAAACCAACGCTCTTCTAGCCATCCTAATGAAGGTCGACCGCGTGGAATGAGAGGGTCATTAGGAAAATCCTTTTTTCTTGCTTTTCAGAAAAGTAAGTGGCACATCTGCATCCAGATTCCGCATGTGCAAAACCACTTGAAGATTTTTGAGGAAATATAGGTACATCCAATACTTTAATAATAATTAAGAATCTAAGATTTAAGTTATGTTACCGTTATATTAAAAATTTCTTATCCTTCTGCCCTTAAATTGTATCTATTAAACAAAAAAAAAAATTGATGCTTGAGTCGGTGAAGAAAATAATGGGTTGGTTCAAGTGGTTTCAACATGCAAG